GACGCGAGCGGGACACCCGTGGGAGGTGGGGACGGACGGACATGGGGCGCCGGCGGGGCACACATGGGATGCGGGGACACGCAGGGGACACGCAGGGAGAGGACGTGGGAGGTGGGGACACACGCGGGAGGCATAGGGGGCACATGGGGGGGCACAGAGGGAACGCGCAGGGAGACGGGGGGGCAGACGTGGGACGTGGGGACGCACGCGGGAGGCATAGAGGGTACACATGGGATGTGGGAGACACGGGACGCACGCAGGACACACAGGGGTCACAAGGGACGTGGGGACACGCAGGGGTCAAGTAGGAGAGGGCACAGGAGACAGGCGGGACACAAGACGGCACGGGGGACACGCACGGGGACATTCAGGAGAGAGGGGACACTGGAGCCGTGGGACACACCGTGGGGACACGTAGGAGCCGCTCCTGGGACACACAGGACCCAGGCAGGGGACAGCGAGGGGGTGCCGAGGCAGAGGCTGAGGTGCCACCACCGCGGGGACAGTGCCGTGACAAGCCTGGCGAGCCCCAGCCGCGCACCCCACGACCACCCGGGAGCCGCGGGCCACCCCGCAGCGCAGGAAGCCAGGGTGGGTGGCCGCGTCCCGGCCATCGCGGTGACCTTCGGAGCAGGGAAGGCGCGCTGAGGTCTCCCCACGTGGTGTGAGATGCAGCCCCGGCACGTGACGTAGAGCCGGTCCCCGGCCACCCCACAGAGTAGCACCCACGGTTTTGGGGACAGGCTACGTGACAAACCCAGCGGGGTCTTTGGGGATGCTCCAGCCTTGCTCCGGGGGCAGCGAAGCCACCCCCCAAGGGTGACCTTGGCCTTTCCACTGCACGAGCTGCATGGCCGTGGTGGCACTGCCCTGCCAGTGTGGGAGGTGGGGCCCCCGGCCCCCCAAAAGAGCATCCTGCAAACCAGAGCCTGATCCTGCAGGGTGCCAGGCACCCGTGGGTGCCTCGCAGGGGGGCACCCAGCAGCCGTTGGCCCCCACACGATTCCCCCAAACTAACAGGAGTCGGCCCTCATTACTGCACTTAAAGGCGACTGTGACCCAGGGGACCCCATCACCAGCTCGTCGCCTGTCCTGTCACCCGGGGGGGTTATGCCTCAGTTTCCCCCACCCGCGCCCCGCGCTCACGCGTGGACAGGCTGAGTATCGGCGGGGCGGCAACGCACCCAGCGGCGCCGCTGGTGTAGTGGTATCATGCAAGATTCCCATTCTTGCGACCCGGGTTCGATTCCCGGGCGGCGCAAGTCCCTTTTTGGGCTTCCTCCTTTTTTTTTAATTTCCCTGCCCCCCCGTGGGTGGTTCCACCCACGGCGCGTGGGGGCGGATCCCCGTGGGGACGGCTGGGAGTTGTAGTCCCCGCGCTACGGCCACCGCCCGCTCCAGCCATGCAAGCGCCGGCGGCGGCGGAGCGCAACAAGGGCCCGATCCTGGAGGTACTGCGGCGGTACGTGGGATCCGGCACCCACGCGGGATCCGGCGTCTTGAGGGTGCTAGAGGTGGGGGCGGGTGCGGGACTCCACGCCGCGCACTTTGCCCGGGCGCTGCCGCAGACCCGCTGGCAGCCCTCCGACATCGAGCCCCGGGCGCTGCGCAGGTGAGGGGGGAGCACGGCGTGGGGGGTGGGGGGTCCCTGGGGGGGCACAGCCCGCAGCCCCTTCCCCTGCCGACGCACCCACGGCCGGAGTGCCCGGGCTCCCCGGCTCGGTGCCGTATTTTATTCCAGGAAAGACCCAATAGCCAACTCTCAGATGCCTCGGACTCCCCAGCTTGATGCTTACTTTCTTCCAGAAAAGACCCAATATTGAACTCTCCGACAGCCCAGGCTCCCCTGCTTGATGCTTTATTTTTTCCAGGAAAAACACAGAATTCAACTCTTGGACAGCCCAGGCTCCCCAAGACAGCACTTGCTATATTTTTCCCAGAAAATCCCCAATATCCAACTCTCAAACAGCCCAGGCTCCCCAGCTCAGTACTTTATTTTTCCCAGAAAAGCCCCAATATTTAACCCTCCACCACCCCACCCCGTTACAGAGCGATTCCTGCCTGCAAAGCGCCCAACCGTGCACTGCTGAGCGGTGGTCACCCTCCGGTTACCCACGCGCAGCCGGGATGCTCCGCGGTGATGCCAGGACCAATGCCCAGCTCACCGGGATGCGGGCGGTGACTCCCACCCGTGCCGTGGGTAGCTCACACCCCGCTCCCGGCATCACACTGCCCCGGCAAGCCGCGTCGGGCCGTGTTTATTTGCTCTGCGTCTGTGTGGGGGGGGTTTGGCTGTGGCCAAATGCCCATTCCTGGCATTTCAGCGCCAGGCTCGGAGGGCTCGGTTTCCATTCAGGAAACAAAAATAATCCCCAGCTCTGCAGTGAGGGGAGGAATTCCCTCCCGAAAATAAAATAAACCCGGTGGGGAGGTGCCAAAATCGGCGCCTGTCCGGGGGGGTTGCAGCCAGCATCTTTCTCACCCGTCACCTCTCCGGCAGCGGCACCCAGCACGCACCACCCTGGTTGAAAATAATCCCTGGGCTGGGGCCGGGAGTCTGCGGTCCCCTGCTCTGCCACCTCGGGCACTGAGACCTGGCTGGTGAATGCGCCAAAAAGGGTATAAACCACACCAAAATCACACGGTACCGGCAGCGTGCAGGCAGCCTGGGTGCAGGGGTGCAGGCAGCGCTGCGGGCAGCCCGGGCACGTGGGTGCAGGCAGCCCGAGCACGTGGGTGCTGGCAACAACGCTGCGGGCAAGGCGGGCGTGTGGGTGCAGGCAGCGTGCGGGCAGCCTGAGCACGTGGGTGCAGGCAGCGTGCAGGCAGCCTGAGCACGTGGGTGCAGGCAGCATGCAGGCAGGCAGCTGGGAGGGCAGCGTGCTCTGGCTGCCCTGCTGAGAGGCAACAGTGAATTGGGATTTTTTTTTTTAGGCGCTGGGCTCTCTCGGTCCATGTGCCACAGGTTCTCTGGCAGCTGCCTGTTGTAAAGCAAAGAGCTCGGCGATACCAGACCCCTGGCCCTGTGCAGCCCCCCTCCAGGCTGTGTTGCAAGCACAACCTTATTATTAGACATCAGAGATTCCACCTGGGAGATGCTGGTGGCAGCCAGCACGGGCAGGTTTCAGGTCTGCCTGCAGCGGGAGCTGGTGGGGGGGCTCTGTGGGGGGGTGGGGGGGTGCAGGCGATGCCCCAGCTTGGGGTTGATGTGGGGTTTGGTGCCCACAGCATCGCTGCCTATGCGGAGGCCATGCAGGTGCCCAACATGCTGCCCCCCATCCTGCTGGACGTCTCGCAGGGCTGGGAGACGTGGGGGGGCACCCAACCCGCCACCCTCGACCTCCTCGTCAGCATCAACATGATGCACATCGCGGAGCTGCGTTGCACCGAGGTGAGCGGGGCAGGGCTGGAGCTACGCCAGCCCTCGCCAGGTCCCCGTCCCCTGGTCTGGGGGTCCCAGGGCCGAGGAGGGGGCTCCCGGGGGGTGTCCCCCAGCTCCCTGGCCTGGTCCCCACCTCTCTCTTTCCCCAGGGCCTGTTCAAGGGTGCTGGGGTGCTGCTGAAGCCTGGAGGAGTGCTCTTCACCTACGGGGTACGTGCTGCTCGGTCGCACACCCGTCGGTGCAGGAGCATCCCGATGGGTGCGGGGTG